CTCCTTGAGATCTACGGTATCTTTTTTGAGATGCAGCTATCGGATCACAGATTATAAAGAGCAATACGTTCCTTTTCCTTCCTTGCTGCAGGCTTTCAACCACTACATTGGAAGTCAAATAATAACAACAACAACAACAACAACAACAACAACAACAACAACAACAACGTTGGAAGGGACCTTGGAGGTCATCTAGTCCAACCCCCTGCTCAGGCAGGAAACCCTATACCATTTCAGACAAATGGCTGTCCAGTTTCTTCTTAAAAACTTCCAGTGTTGGAGCATTCACCGCTTCTGGAGGCAGGTTGTTCCACTGGTTAACTGTTCTAACTGTCAGGAAGTTTCTCCTTAGTTCTAGGTTTCTTCTCTCTTTGGTTAGTTTCCACCCATTGCTTCTTGTCCTGCCTTCAGGCGCTTTGGAGAATAGCTTGACTCCCTCTTCTTTGTGGCAGCCCCTGAGATATTGGAACACTGCTCAGTGCCTCAGTGGGTGGAGGAGATCCTGGGAATTATAGTAGGGTAGCTATTAGGCTGCAGGTCATAGGTCCCTTTATCCAGCGCTATCATAATTTTGAACAGTCCCTGAACGCATAACTGTAAGTCAAGGACTATCTATATTTACTGAAGCATACAATAATAACAACACGAAACCCATTAGATATTAACATAAATGAAACATGAAAAGCCTTATTTTTGAACAAATAAAAATAATAATGGAAGAGCGACGTTTTGAATTTTGCAAATATTTTCAATATCTAGCAAATCATTTTGATTTTGTGGGCTGCTGCGGGCATCTTGGGGGACCATGCTTTAATTTAAATTTTTTAAAGTTTGATCACAGGACCACGGGGGGGTGATGCAATGGTTGTAAGTGTGTGGACTTAAGAAACAGTGACATAAGAGTGCAAGAATACTTGTGAACTGCAATACATTTTTAAAGTATTAAGAAGAGACTGGACTGGACTGCCATTTATCTGGAATGGTATAGGGCAGGGGTAAGCAACCGTGGCTCTTTTATGACTCGTGGACTTCAATGCCCAGAATTCCTGAGCCACCCACACTGAGGGAAAAGGGTGAGGTTTCCAAGCTGAGTCATGCTGGCTCAGGAATTCTGGGAGTTAAAGTCCATGAGTCATAAAGGAGCCAAGGTTGCCTACCCCAGGTATACGGCTTCCTGTTCAAGCAGGGGGTTGGACTAGAAGACCTCTAAGGTCCCTTTTAACTCTGTTGTTCTGTAAATGACCCGCTGTGTGATGGTTAGTTTCCTCTTTAGAATCTCAAAGGTACTTTTTCAGGAGACAACTGGACTTTCTTGTTTTTCCTTAGAAGACGTTTCGCTTCTCATCCCAGAAGCTTCTCCAGCTCTGACTGGATGGTGGGGAATAGAAGGATTTATACTCCTTGCAGACAGCTGGTCATTTGCATTCTTTTAGAGAGCCGTTGAGGCCACTTGGAGATTTATCTGTGTCCTCAGGGTCATCTGAGTGGTGCAAATGGGTGTGGAGCCTTCTTGGAACTGCTGAAAGACTGGAGATGGATGATGTCGTATCCCTCCCCCTCTGTTGAGAGAGGGCTGTTCAAAATTCAAAATTGAACAAAAAAGCTCAGTTGTCTCTTGAAAAAGCATCTTTGGGACAACCATGACCTGGATGACTGAGAATCTCCCTAGACCAGGGATGGGCAACCTTGGCTCTTTTATGACTCGTGGACTTCAACTCCCAGAATTCCTGAGCCAGCCATGCTGAGAGGAAAGGGAGAGGTTTCCAAGCTGAGCCATGTTGGCTCAGGAATTCTGGGAGTTGAAGTCCCTGAGTCATAAAAGAGCCAAGGATGCCTATCCCTGGTCTAGGGCCTAGACCAGGGATAGGCATCCTTGGCTCTTTTATGACTCAGAATAAAAGAATTCCTGAGCCAGCCATGCTGAGTGGAAAGGGAGAGGTTTCCAAGCTGAGCCATGCTGGCTCAGGAATTCTGGGAGTTGAAGTCCACGAGTCATAAAAGAGCCAAGGTTGCCTACCCCTGCCCTAGACATTCCTCTTTGGAGGTAATTTTTTAAAAATCACCTTCATATTATTAGGGCGCCAATCGCACCCATGTCGAGAATCTCACCAACATTCGAAGGTGAATTAGTAGTGATGCTGGTCCAAACCAGACAAACGCTTTAAGACGGTTTGCATAAGATGAGGCTTTCATTTTTTCTGCACAGAAGGCGCCGTGTCTTGTGGCTTCTTCTGCTTGCTTGCTTGACTCATTCTGCTGGTTGTTGATGTCCCTTTTGGAAAAGCAAGGGTGGTTTCATAATAGCCGGGCAATCAGTTGCTGCAAATCATGTTGTGTCATAGATAAAGGAACATTGCTTCCATGTTTGCTGGGCTGAAAGTATTTTTTTTTTCCTGATCCTCTTCTGAGGCATAAGAAAACCACTGATGGGCTGCAGTCACCCTGAGGTAGCCCGTGGCCATGTCTTATTTACAGTGATGGGAACTGTAGTGAGCACATCCATCTTGGAAAGGCTGCTTAGGAGAACAGTAGCATCATCCAGGGAGCAATTTTTTGGGAAACAGACAGCTGATTAGGCTTTCAACGCTTGTGCCTGGGGGTCCATAAAACCTGTGAAATCCAGAATGTGTTGAGCTCAGATGTTCCATTTCAACTCCTAGCTGAAGAGTCAGAAGAGTACTTTAGACCTTCCTGGAGTATTTTAAGTGCAAAACATCTGAGCTGGAAAGGGTATTTTGAATGTTCCAAGCTGAGATGTTTAATAATAATAATAATAATAATAATAATAATAATAATAATAATAATAATAATAATAATAATAATAATAATAATAGTAATAGAGAAAGAACTGGAGAAGATAACAAAATACAGAGACCTACAAATAGAAATAGAAAGACTGTGGCAAAAGCAAGCAAAAGTAGTACCAATAGTAATAGGCGCCTTAGGTGCAATTCCAAAACAACTGGAGCACCACTTGAACACCATCAATGGCATTGACAAATTTGCTATTAGTCAATTGCAAAAGGCGGCCTTACTAGGAACTGCTTCCATCCTGCGACGATATCTGTAATACCATCAAACATCCACATCTGCCTATCCCAGGTCCTGGGTAAGGACTCGATAGGTAGACAAAATGCCAAATCCAGTCTGAACATCTGGCTGACTGTGCGATGATCCATAATAATAACAATAATAATAATAATAATAATAATAATGATGATGATGATGATGATGATGATGATGATGATGATGATGTTGGAAGGGACCTTGGAGGTCATCTAGTCCAACCCCCTGACTAGACAGGAAACCCTATACCAGGGTTTTTCAACCAGTGGTACGGGTACCACCTGTGGTACATTGGCACCTTGCAGGTGGTACGCGACCACCCTAGAAAAGTGTTAGTGGGGGAGGGGAATGAGCTGAACCGGTGGCAGCACCACACAAGCCTGAGCAAGAGATGGCTGGAGCTTCAGGGCTGTCAGGGCTCAGCGGAAGCGCCAGGATCAGCGCCAGGCTCCAGCTGGAATGAGCCCAGAAGAAGCGCCGATCAGCTGGAATGTTGCAGCTGATCGGCGCTTGATTTACATTCAGATGCTTGGCAACTGATTCATATTTATGACAGTCACAGAGTCCCAGGGTCATGTGAAGTGACCAAAACTTGCTGCAACCACCCAGCAGACGGGGGGAATAAAAACCAAACACTCCCCACCCCACCCCTGCTGCCAATCCTCAACAGAAATGCTCACAACAATGAAAACCTCGGACAGGAGGAAGAGTGCCGCCGGGCGGGCAGACATGTGTTTTGCTCGGCTGTGGCTTGGGGGGCACTTTTTTCAGTGCCATTGTAACTTCGAACAGTCACTAAGCGAACTGTTGTAATGCTGGCAGAGGAATTCTGGGAGTTGAAGTCCACAAGTCATAAAAGGGCCAAGTCTGAAGACCCCTGAGTTAGATAAAAGAAAGCTAAGTCTAGAGTAGAAACATAATTGGAGGTGGTGCCTCAGTCAAAACCCTCACTAGTTCTCAGGAATATAAAGGGCGTGAGGGGGACCTGCATTCGGGCTTGGACTGTTTTGTTACTATAGAGGTAGTCCTTGACTTATGACCCCAATTAAGCCCAACATTTCTGTTGCTAAGCGAGACTGTTCAGTGAGTTTTGCCCCATTTTACAACCTTTCTAGACGCAGTTATTAAGTGAATCACTGCAGTTATAAAGTTAGTCACACGGCTATTAAGTGAATCAGGCTTCCCCATGGACTTTGCTTGTCGGAAGGTCACAAAATGGTATAGGGTTTCCTGCCTGAGTAGGGGGTTGGACTAGATAACCTCCAAGGTCCCTTCCAACTTTTTATTATTATTATTATTATTATTATTATTATTATTATTATTATTATTATTATTATTATTATTATTATTATTATTATTATTATTATTATTATTATTATTATTATTATTATTATGGGATCGTGTGACCCCTGGTACACTGCAACTGTCATAAATGTGAGTCAGTTGCCCAGTGTCTGAATTTTGATCACCTGATCACGGGGATGCTGCAAAGGTCATAAGTGTGTAAAATGATCATAAGTCACTTTTTTTCTGTGGCCATTGCAAGTACAAATGGTCACTAAATGAACTGTTGTAAGTTGAGGACTCTCTGTAGCCTTCTAATAAAAGCAGTGTTAGCATGCACCACTGGTTTCCTACTCTGGTCTACCTTGAAGTGCTGAAATAAATACTCCATTTATACCAAATCCTAAGCTTGGTTAAAGTTTGGGGTTTTTTGGGGGGTGGCATCCAAAATGCCAACCAAAAGTTTTGGTTTCCAATATAGTGTGTGTGAATCCAGAATATGTATTAACTCTTTAATCACATGAAGCAGTTTATATGAAGCAACCTGTCATTTGTGGCCTGGAAGAAAAATAGAATGCAACAAGTCCATCACTGGTTGAATTAATGTTTTTTTTTCTCTTTCTGTTTTATTTTGTTTCTGTGCTGTCCAGTTTTCTGCTGGTTTTCTCCTGCTTAGTCCTCTCTGTCTTTTCCACCATTGATGATTACGAAGAGAGTTCTGAATGGGCCCTTTACAGCCTGGTAAGTGGGATGCTAAACGTCTAAGGCTAAAATCCAGGAAGGGGAGCCATTCATTTGGTGAATAAGAATAGAATAGAATAGAATAGAATAGAATAGAATAGAGTAGAGTAGAGTAGAGTAGAGTAGAGTAGAGTAGAGTAGAGTAGAATATATGGAATGGAATAGAAGAATGGAAGGGAAGGGAAGGGAAGGGAAGGGAAGGGAAGAGAAGAGAAGAGAAGAGAAGAGAAGAGAAGAGAAGAATGGAATGGAATGGAATGGAATGGAAGACTATCCTATCCTATCCTATCCTATCCTATCCTATCCTAACCTGTCTTACCTATCTAGAGTAGAGTAGAGTAGAGTAGAGTAGAGTAGAATATATGGAATGGAATAGAATGGAATAGAAGAATGGAATAGAATAGAAGAATGGAATGGAAAAGAATGGAATGGAATGGAATGGAAGAGAAGAGAAGAGAAGAATGGAATGGAATGGAAGACTATCCTCTCCTCTCCTCTCCTCTCCTCTCCTCTCCTCTCCTCTCCTATCCTATCCTATCCTATCCTATCCTATCCTATCCTATCCTGTCTTACCTATCTAGAATAGAATAGAATAGAATAGAATAGAATAGAATAGAATACTTTAATGGCCAAGTGTAATTGGACATACAAGGAATTTGTCTCCAGTACGTAAGGTCTCAGTGTACATACACACAACAAAGTAACATAATCATAAGATACCAGTAAGAGAAGGTGGTAAAAAAGATGAGAAGGATAATATTAATACAGCCATATTACATGGATAAATATCCTTAGATATAAGACAGTACTGTGGGAATTAGGTCTTCCACAGAACGATGGCACAGGGGAAAAAAAATATTTGTGTCTAATTGCTTTGGCAGGCAATGCCCTGTAGCATTATTATACCTATAATACAGGGAATTATATCAATAATACAGGTAGTCCTCAACTTACGACCACAATGGAGCCCAAAATTTCCGTTGCTAAGTGAGGCAGTTGTTAAGTGAGTTTTGACTGCATGATTCATTTAACAACTGCTTAATAACTGTGGTAGGAATGGTTGTAAAATCAGGCGTGTCTCCCTTAACAACCACATCGCTTAGCAACGAAAAACCTGGCCCCAATTTGGCGATACGTTGAAGACTACCTATCGATGTGTAGGTGGGCAACGTAAACAATCCACTGAAAAGATTTTCTTGGGAGTTTTATAAAGCTGAGAAGGACAAGATTGAAG